TTTTCCCAGCCTTTGGGGTTGGACCACATCCCAACCAGGAAAGCAATGGGGCAGTAGGATAGCATGTAGCATAGGCCCTTGCTCCTCAGTCTGGGGTCCTTGGACCGGCAGCATAAATGCCACCTGGGAGTTTATCGAAGAAGCAGATGCTAAGGCCTCACTCCAGACTTGCTGAATTAGAATCCACATTTTACTAAGAACTCCAGTTCATTCGTATGCACGTTGAAGTTTGGGAGGTGCTGGCATAAGGTTGAAGGGTTCAGGCTTTAGCATCAGGCAGAGCTGGATTTAAATCCCCACACGTCATGTGTGACTTTGTGACCTTGGACAGGCTACTTAACTTCGATGAGCTTCATTTCCTTCATAATTAAAATAGAATGTTAGTGACTATATCAATGCCATTATGATGATTAGATGATGGACGTGCCCAGTGCCTGACTTTGCTGTACAATCTCAGTAAGTGAACTCTAATGATAGTAATAAGACCCTCGAGGGTATAGTTAGAGCTTGAAAATCACCTCCCTCGAAGAGGTTTGTATGAACTTCAGGTGTTTTGCATTAGAAAGACTTGCAACCTTTGCTGCCACAAAGTTCTAATTTGAAAACAGGTAGCCCTACAAATCTGTATTTCTTTTTCTTCAAAAAGCCAGCCGTGGGCGAGGACACTGCTTTCTTTCTTAGTGTTCTGAGGCGCACGTTCTTAAATGTTAATGGACCATATGGGAAACCAGTGGACTGGAGCTAAAGGAATCATGATGAGCCTCGTCCCGCAGGGCAGGTGTTTGGTGACCCAGTAAAGTTCAGCTGACATCTGCTCCTGGAACCTGCAGGCTGGGCTGTCTGCTGAGGCCAGAGAGGTAGACCCTCTGCAGAAAAAAATTTTTCTTTTAATGCATTGCTATATATTAAAGAATACATAGATATGCTCTTGACAGAGAAATGCCAAGAGTTTAACAGTAGTGAGATAGAATCCTGGGTAGCAGTCACTCAACAAATATCTTGAGTGTCTGCAATCTGCCAGGCACCATGGAGCCCTCAGAGACAATCTCTGCCCTCACAGCACTTACAGACTCCAGGATAAATGAACATGGAATAAATAAGTGTTAACTAATTTTAACTATGTTACCATTTAGAAATTCATAATGCATAGTTTAGAGCAAAGCAGCAGGGCATTGTAAGAGGCTGGGAGTCAGGTGGTCTGAGAGCTGTCCAAGTTCTGGCCCTAAGTCAATGTGAAATCTCAAGCACTTCCCTTACTTCCTCTCTGGCACTCAGTTTCATCATCAGAAAAAACTGGGATTTGGTTCTGATGGCCTCCGAGCTTGTTCTCTAACTCTGAGTGAGGGTTAACACCATCCCATTCACGCGGTGCTCCCACACCCGAAAAGCAAGCACCTATTCTTTGAAAAAGGAAGAATCTCATGGACTATATGCTGAGACTTAAGGGTGTGGAAGACCACTCATGGTGTGTGGGATACCAGACACTTAAAGACCCTGGCTGGCAGTACATCTCTAAGTCCCCTTCCTTCTCCTGACTTGCCTTGTGTGGGAGTTAAAAGCATGAATTCTTAAGTCAGACTATCTGGAATCAACTGGAGAAATGCCTCCCACTTACTGTGTGACCTTAGGCAAGACACTTAACTTCCCTAGCACCAGTTTCCTCAGATGGAATAAAGAGATGGAGAGGCTGACAGCCCTGGACAGACAAGGTTGCTGCAGGGATGCAGTGAGATAATGGATGTCCTCAGAGAGACAAATACCATGGGAACAGCTTCTCACTACCATGAGAAATGGGTTCAAGGTTCCTGGAATGATGCTGGTGAACTGATGGCAAGCACTAAATGGACCCTATAACCTGGATTAATAGATTATTAATAAGAAAACATTTTACCGTGACCACAGAAAAGAAAAACTTTAGACTAGCAGACCAGGTATCAGAGCTCTGAATCTGGCTTTACGCTGACTCACTGGGGAACATGGGTCAAAGCAGCCTATCTCTTTGGGTTTCAATTAAGTTAAGATTAGTTTCATCTCAATTTGGGACTGTGAGAATCCGGCAAGATCATATAAATCTGTGGTCCCTGAGTCCCTGGAGTAACAATCTATGGCCTATTAGGTAAAATGAAGCTTCGTCTGTATTTATAGCCACTCCGTGTCACTCGTGTCACCACCTGAGCTCTGCCTCCTGTCAGACCAGCAGCGGCATGAGCTTCTCATAGGACTACCAATGCCACCGTAAACTGTGCACGTGCGGGGTCCAGGTTGCATGTTGCTTAAGAGAATCTAATCCTTGATAATATGAGGTAGAGCTGTGGTGGTGACACTAGCACTGGGACCTTCTAATTGCACAAAAGCAAGCTGAGGGCTCACATGATTCTGCATTATGTTGAGTTGTATCATTATTTCACTATACATTAACAATGTAATAATAACACAGATAAAGTAATGCACTTGAACCATCCTGAAACCATACCCCACCTGCTGGCCCATGGAACAATTATCTTCCAAGAAGCCAGTCCCTGGTGCCAAAAAGGTTGGGGATTGCTGATAGAACTGATATTGTCTGGGAAGATAGGAAGAGCTTCACTCATGTGAGTTCCTGTTATCAAAGACTGCATTCTGCTAGGCACAGTGGCTCACACCTGTAATCCTAGCACTCTGGGAGGATGAGGCAGGCTGATCACTTGAGCTTAGGAGTTTGAGACCAGCCTGAGCTTGAGCAAGATCTCATCTCTAAAAATATCTGGGTGTTGTGGAGGGTGCCAGTGGTCCCAACTACTTGGAAGGCTGAAGGAAGAGAATCACTTGAGTCCAAGAGTTTGAGGCAGCTGTGGGCTGTAAACTACAACACTCTACCAAGGGTGACAAAGTGAGACTTTGTAAAGAAAAGAAGGAAGGAAGGAAAGAAGGACTGTACTCAAAGCCAGAGAGGCTAGATAACATATGCATTCTTCCCAAGCTTTCCCAAAACGACCACTCCACGTTGTATGGACAGTTCACCGTCACTGCTCACAAGGCGATGGAAGCAAATGCAGATTTGACGCTGTCTCATCGGCCCTCTTCCTTGTGATGAGCAGACTTTTTTTCTGGAAGTTGTCTTCAGATAGTATGAACAAGTCGGGGTGTGAATGTTGACTCTTGGAGAGAACCCCATTAGACGTGGGGACCCTTGAAGAGAATGTGCCCCACTCCCACAGGATGTATCTGTGTCTTCCCCTCCGCAGCAGCCCCAGCGAGGACAGAATCACCCCTTTGGGAATCACTGCATGTGGCAGTCAGAAAAAACAGTCTGAGGATGCTTTTTCCTGTAAGATATTTTTTTTTAATCTCAATTTAGATTCTTATTTGTCAAACTCATTGGCCTTCAGTTTTCAACTGCAGGAATCAATCAAGATTCCCTCAGTCTATCTTTTTCAACCATTCATTTTCTTCAAAACTATAATTTATCTGTGAACCTTGAACTCTGACAGGAATCGTCTTACGTGCAAGCTTCTCTGCAAAATGGCTTTTGTCACATCTAACTGTTGAGAGCTGGTGTGTGTTGAGCGTCTGCTTCAAACAAAGCCGTAGTTAGAGCTCTAGAAGATACAGCCTCATGGAAAACACAAACTTTCTATCTTTGAGGCTTTTACTGTATCTCTAGGGAGTTTAAACATGGGAATAAGAAAAGTGAATTTAAAATGTAGGTCAAGATGCCAGCGAGGTAGGCAGGAGCCTAGGGCCATGGCTGCCATTGCCTCCACCACTCTGCTTCAGTGCTTCTGGGTCTTTGAGTTTTCACCACCTGGGAGAAGCTGTCAGGGCATCAGATCCCTGGGGATGGGGAACAGAGGAGGCAGAGTGAGAGAAAATAAATAAATAAGCAAACAAATAATAAAAGAAGATATAAGTCAATATGCAGAGAATTCCAAAGGGATGGTTCAAGTGGCAACTTCTAAGTAGAGGTAAAAAATTGGAAACCCATAAGTTATGTCATCCCAGAGATTTAAAAAGAGAAAACAAAAAGAAAAAGAAAAAAAAATGGGTTATGCATTATCTCTTCTTTATGTCAAAACATCAGGAGATTTGGCCAATTGAACCAGCATTGGAATATTTCACTTGGCAGAGCTGTTGCCACTCTTTAGACAGTGTAGGACACAGATCTCACAGCACCCCATCCCTAAATGTCCTCATCTGTTCCATGATCACCTTATATGACCTACTTCTGTGAACATCCTGAGTTCAAGAACCCACCATTGTGGTTCAATAAAAAAAAAGAGAGAGAGAATTAATTGTTGAGAACAATTAAAACATGGCAGAACCATCGGTGTGACTCTGTAATAAAAAAAGAGAGAATTAATTGAATATGATCCATGGACAGGTGGGATTTCCCATGGTTATTGAATTCTAGCCAGGCTTCTGGTAGACAGGAGAGGCTGTGATCATAGAGGGAGAGGTGTGTCTAGGAGGCAATAAACAGAACACACCGGGCCGAGCTGAGCGTCTGCGCGGGGAGTGTTGGGAGTGGAGACACAAACTGAGAAAGAATCTAGATGTCGATGAGCTGATTGTGCTGACAATGAGGATCTTCTGAAGGTGTTTTCAGGTCAAGGGTATCAGGAGGAAAATGAGGTTTTAGGAAGATTGTGCTTCACATACATATGAAAAATTTTTTTAAAAAAAAGGTGAGAGGCAGCAACATCAGGTAGAGGCTAAAGCAGAAACCAGAGATCGAGGGCCAGAGGGTCTGAGCACTGCTGGAAGCAGCAGGAATGGGGAATAAATGGTGGGGAGATACTGGGAGGGAAGAACTGGTAGTTGATGGACAAGTGCGATTGAGGGGCAAGAAGGAATCAAATAAAAATCAGCAATGAGCAGGCCTGTGGGAGAGGGGACCGTGCAGGATACAGACTGCAGTGTGGAGTGTACCATCTGTTCCCAGCTCCTGCAAAGAATCTGCCACAGGCCTTCCTTCCCAGTCCTCTCAGGAGAGGTGCCCACTCAGGCCCTTTGTCTTCCAGGAAAAAGATGTGACTCCAGATAAAAACCTCCTGACCAAGGTTCGAGATGCTGCCCTGTGGCTGGAGTCTTTGTCAGACGGCAGAGCCACCAAACCTTCCTTCTCTACCACCTCCTCCATTGCTGACTTCTTCCTTGCCCTAACCATCTGCAACTCCGTCATGGTGTCCACAACCACTGAGCCCCGGCAGAGGGTAAGGACTGGTGAAGGTTGGGAGTGGAGAGGAGAGACATGACGCCTGGGTCCTGACCACTGGGTCACGTTCCATCACTGTGAGAACTTGAACAGATCTCTTACCCTCTCTGGGTTGGTTTCTTCATGTTTAAATACAATGAAAAAATGTTATCTATGAGCTCTTTGTGTAGCTTTCAAACTATGTCTGTCTGCAGGGTAGCTAGTAAGAGTTAATGTTTACTGAGCACTCAGCTACGTGCCAGACATTATGCCAAACACTTTACCTGTATTATCATTTAACTTCCACAGTCCAACAGCTCTGTGAGGTACATGCTTGGCTTTAGCAAGTAAGAAAGTGGTGGCTCAGATAACGTGAGGGACATAACAAAGGATGGACATTTAAAGCATGGCAGAACTATCTGTGCGACTGTAATACTGTTACAGTGGGACAGTACAGTATACCCTGTTACACTGCTATCTGCTTTTACAGAGGAGTCCAAAATAATCAATACTGTGATGTTCTTCCCCTGGAAATAATGCAGCTGGATGCTCATTTATGTAGAATTATACTCTGAAACCTAGTAAAAGTAGATTTGTCTTCAATTTTCCACAAACTTTCAGCCAAGCTGCTCCCTTGTGGGGACATGGATGGGAATAAGTACCGTGTGTGGCACAACTTGTGTCTATGAAGCCCAGACAAGAGGGCTCACCCAGGCTCCAAACCCCCTCTGCCCTAAGTCCCTCATGTTATGGTTGGGTAAACTGTGGCCCATAGAGGAGAAGAGATTTTCCCACAATCACTGAAGGCTTGAATAGTCGACCTATTGTGAAATTGCTTTCACCTTCTGCAGCAGACAGCTTGATATTATTTCCAACAGTGACAACAATGCTCTACTTTCCTCTTTCGTCCACAAGGTCACCATCCCACCCTCAACCAAGGCTTTGGGAATGTCCTTAGAGAAGATTCAGCAGCTCTTCCAAAGGTTGAAGCTTTCAAGCCTCAGCCAATCATTCTCGTCCACTGCACCCTCTGACACAGACCTTGGGGAAAGTCTGGGAGCCAATGCACCCACCATGGACTCGGATGAGAAAGACGACTCGTCTGTGTGCAGTGGGGGCTACTCCACCGATGGCGGCTACAGGAGCAGCGTGTGGGACCAAGGCGACATCCTGGGCTCTGGGTCAGGTGCATCTTTGGAGGAGGAGCTGGAAACCCCAGCTCCAGGCCTGGCTGGGCCTGAGCTCTGTTATGAGGCTGAGAGCCCTGATGAGGCAGCCCTGGTGCATGCTGCCCATGCCTACAGCTTCACGCTGGTGTCCCGGACACCTGAGCAGGTGACTGTCCGCCTGCCCCAGGGCACCTGCCTCACCTTTGACCTCCTCTGTACCCTGGGCTTTGACTCTGTCAGGAAGAGAATGTCTGTGGTTGTGAGGCACCCACTGACTGGGGAGATCGTTGTCTACACCAAGGGCGCTGACTCGGTCATCATGGACCTGCTGGAAGACCCAGCCAGCGGTGAGTCCTGCCTCATTGGGGCTCTGGAAACCAAGGGCTGCATGTGGAGTTTAAGAGGCAGTGTGCAAGGCTGATCAGGAACTCAAGTTAAAATGTCACCGGCCCTGCAGGGCCCAGCTGGAGTATAGGCCCACTAGACATTCTCTTCAAAGCAAGATCCTTAAAACACCCTACATTGTACGTTTCCTTAACCTGGAGAATCACAGCGTCCATTCTCCTGTATAGGTTAAAGACTATACAGTCTTGTAGCAGAGAAACATCTTTACCTTTATTGATTCCAATTTCTAGTTTTCCAAACCCATTTTTAACATTTCAGATTAAGAGAGTGGCACATGGTTAGGTTATGTAGTATGCTTTTGTAAGGTTAAGATCCAAGTTGTGGTTGTGTCCTTCACCCAGGCAGTGTGCAAAGTACCCATGCAATTTGTTTTTTTGTTTGTTTGGTTTTGGTTTTGGTTTTGTTTTTTTGTAGTTTTTGGCCAGGCCAGGTTTGAACCCGCCACCTCTGGCATATGGGGCCAGCGTCCTACCCCTTTGAGCCACAGGCGCCACCCCTACCTATACAATTTGGTCCAAACCCATTTAAACATGGATTATCCACACACAAATTTTTGCACAAGAATGTCCAGTAAAATACCCTAGAACACGCTGTGGTCCTAACTCTTCATTTTGGCTAGAGGCCAATTCAACCTATGAGAGACTTAGGAGACGCAGCTTGAGCCCGGCTACTCTGAATTTCCATTCAGAACTTGTTTCATGTTGCCAGAATTCTGCACTGGGCTCAGGCACTCTGGGTAGCCTCAGGTGTCCTTCTTTATCATCCTTTTCCCCAGCCTCCCCCAGATGGATTTTCACAAACTTACATTGAGCCAAAAAAATGTTCCAAAGTCCCTACATATCAGTGTCCAATTTTGGAGCAGCATGAATGAGTGTGCAGCCACTTCCTGATTGCTAACAAGAAGAAGACAGTTACGGGGTTATGATTCTCCCAGGATAGTAGATTCCAGCCAAGCTTTAGAATCGCCCAGGCAGCCCTGTGCCTCCTGCATTATCAGCTGTGGATCAGGGCCAAGAGGTTCATGGGGATTGATTAGTGTTTAGAATGGGAAGGGAGCTAATTAGTTCTCTTTATCCCCAGACTCTGGCAGACAACTGAATTCAATGCTTTTGAGTTAAGGGGACTATCCCTGGGTAGCAGCCATCTGAGCCGCCCTGGAGATGTTTCTTTATTTGCTCTTCATCTGGTGGCAAAACAGATTAGAGATGTTTCCAACAAAAGACACATACGCTATGTTGCTCTAAGAATTAAGAAGCAAAACTTTGAATGGGAGCGGGAGGAATCACCCCAGGCTTAGTAATATTTATGCTGCTTGGACACTCGATTTGACACTGAGGTTCCTGGCAGCCTGAGTAAGAAGATGAAGTCTGGCAAATCGAAGACAAAAAAAATGTTTAATCTCAGGAGCTGGAGCCTTTGAAAATAAAATATTGTAAATAGTGTTCAATAAGACCGGGCACAAACGGAGACTATGTTTAAGGCTTTGGAAAACAGGAGCACCTAAAAAATGAATCATAGGGTCCATCCGCATTTAAACAAATACTATCATTATTAAAATAAGCCTGGAAAGGATGTTTAGGTACATAAAAACAGCCTTAGAGTAGTACCATGAGAAAAAAATCAGAAGTTCATTCAGCTTCCCCATAATTACTCATTATTCAGTATTATATTTTTAACCACACCCCCTGAGTGAGGGATTCCTTTACAACTGGAACTTTTCCTTGGAAGTGAGAAGAATGTAATCTAAAAATTTGTACCCTCATGTTAATTTGAAATATAAAATTAAAAATAAATTTTACATTAAAAATATATATTTTTAATTTTGCATTAAATGTAGGGATGAATGAGGTACACAGATGATGGCCATTACTACTCCTTCTAAAAATCTCAATCCAGTCCTCATTAAATTTAAAAATAAAAATTCTAAAGCCTTTTCCAAGCTCAGCTTTACGAATCACTACGATTAGTAAGTGATAATACCTATGGCAGCTTAGACAAAGGCAATGATTGTGACATCGATTCCACACATACACACCAGCCAACCCAGGCTTAAAATTCATACTATAGACTTAGATAGATAAAAGAATCGAAGTTTCAAGAGAAAAAGACAAATTACTTCTGACAGGAACTTATGTAGAACTTCACAAAAGGGGCTTTGAGCAACACATTGAAATATTTTTCACACTAGATTTATAGGAAGTGCAAAAAAAATGTTTTTCCTAAGATCATTTCTTGCATAGAAAAAACCCTACTCAGCAAACCCAATGTGGTAAAGAACTTAACTACTGTGATCCAGGTTTGGAGCAGTCCTGGGATCCTATTTGTTACAGGAACTGACGCAGATGACAGAGAAGACAATAGCTCAGACAGAGAGAACAGGTTCTGAAAGCAGGTGGCATCCAGGGCTTGGCTGGTGACACAAAACACCTTAGGTAACAATAATGATTAAACTTCTGGTCCCCCGATTCAGCTGGGCTTCAACTAGACCTGAGAATCTCTATTATTTAAGTTCCCATATGCTTCTCCTGCAAACAAGAGGTTGAGAACAGTATCCCCTAGACCACCCACCTTCCTTAAATAGCATTTTTCCCAGCCAGGCTTTTGATGACAAGGTAAAGAGAGCAGGTGAGGGAAGGCCCTGGAGTTATCCCTGAGAGGGGAAATGACAGCCAGGAGAGCTCCTCTGTGTTTTTAGGGCCAGCTGTGAAGGGGACTCCTCTGAAGCAAATATAGTCAGCTGGGAAGATCCGGGGTGTTGGGGATGGGGATCTCTAAGCATTCATACATGGCCTCATGGGGACAATGACCATTTGGCAGTGACTGACATTGATTTGGAGAAGAAGCTAAAGAAAACCCAAGCCCGGACCCAAAAGCACCTGGACCTGTATGCAAGAGACGGCCTGCGCACGCTGTGTATCGCCAAGAAGGTCAGAACAAACTCTTCCAGATGTGCTGCTAATGTCATTGCTGAACGGCCTTAACCCTGCTTCTATCTTTTTTTTCTTTATAGAAGACCCTTAGAGTTGCTTGTTTTACTATTTTCAGGATTAGCTGTTCTCTGACAGTTTAGCTGGAGCAGAGGTCCCATACCAACGTGGCTTTCTCAGTCCCTGCTTTTCATTGTATGTGTGATGGGTAACTCAGAAGACAATTTAAGTTATAATTTTGCCTTCAAAGGATCCTTTTAAAGTTTGTATTCTTTGCCTGAACTTAAATTTTGGAAACTTTTTTATATTCACCATAGAAATCTAGAGTTCGGGTTTCTCTTAGAGGATCTGGCAAACTGTCTCCATTTTTGAATGGCTGCATCAATTACAACTAGGTGGCAGTCATTCCTTTGATGAAGGGTGTGTTCAGCTGTGTTCTGCAGTTAGCCATAGGCCCCACCACTCCCTATTGCACTGCCCATGGTCTGGGGTATAGTGATTATATATATATATCACCCACCTCATTTTCTGCAGATCTTTGATTTTGCAGCTCCTGAAAGAAAGGTAGGCAATAAGAGGTGTGAATTACACAACAAAGGCATCTAAAGAGGCACGTAAAATGTAGTAGGGATGCTATGATGGGCATCCTCTAGGCTCTTCATCTCTTTTATGGTGCTGAATACAGTAATGAAGTTGAGTACCCACCAGACCCATCTGGGTGTAAGTTTCAGTATCACTACCTTTAGATATGTGACCTTAAGCAAATTTCCTTACCTCTCTGAGTTTTATCTATAAAATGGTGCTAATCCTCCCTACCTCATGCAGTTGTCATGGAGCATAACTAAGGTAACACGTATACAATGTCTGGGACGGCAATGACTCCTTCCAATGAATTGGAATTATATCCTTACCACCTTCTACTTTCCATTGAAGTTATTCATGCATGCTTTGCCTCCCCTAAGATGCCACATACTATGCATTCCTGAAAAGACAAAGAAAGTACCATTCAGAGGGACTTAAGGAATACTTGATCCTTGGACAAAAGAATCCTTCCCTGCTATAAGAGACAGTACACATGCAAATGCCAGCAGAAGGGTCTGGAAATTCTGTGGAACTCCAATGGAGGAAGAGGTGGCCGCTAGCTAGATTCTGCCAGCTCTCAGGGACCTCCAAGTGTGGGACACCTTGCCTGGTGGGGTGGGTGACAGGCTGTGCAAGATCTGGCTGCTGTTTTTCTTTCCAGCCCCATTTCTAAACCTTCTCCACCTTGCTTTCAATCTTTCCACACCTGATCTGTTCAAGGAATGGAAAGAAGGGCAAGTCCATTGCTGTTTTACAGCCTTTGCACTTGGTCTTCCCCATGATCGACCCCCTCGTGTGTTTGAACTTTAGCTTGAATGTCACCTTGTTAAGGAGACTGAACACCGATCAGAAAGCAGCCCCCCCACAGTTATTCCCCTGCCCCATTACATCCCCCACATCACCCTTATTTTCTGCATAGCACTCCTTGAAATGATCTATTCTTTTTTTTTTCCCACAGTTTTTGGCCAGGGCTGGGTTTGAACCTGCCACCTCCAGCATATGGGGCTGGCGCCCTACTCCTTTGAGCCACAGGAGCCGCCCAAAATGATCTATTCTTTTAAATTTTGTGCTTGGATATTATCTCTAGCCTTCCATCAGATATAAGCCCAAACATCTAGGGACCTTTTCTCTCTTCATCATCTCCAGTGCCCTGTGCACAGTAAGAACTCAATGGATGTTTGGTGGTAATGGAACATAAAGATCAATCTCCACTGATTTGGGCATTGAAATAAAAAGAAAAAAAATCAAGGAGGAGCAACCCCATCAAATGATGTAATGAGGTTCACACAGGCCCTTAGGAGGCCCAGCAGATGGAGAAGGGTGAGGGAATTCTCTTGCTGACCAACCTGAGGTTGATGCAGAGCCTTTTCCTGTCCCGTAGGTCATAAGTGAAGAGGACTTCCGGAGATGGGCCAGTTTCCGGCATGAAGCCGAGGCATCCCTCGAAAACCGCGATGAGCTTCTAATGGAGACAGCACAGCATCTGGAGAATCGACTCACCTTACTTGGTAGCTAAAAATAAGTCTTCATTACATGAAAAAAGGAATGTGGCAAGTTAGGAAGGGAGTTTTTGGCTCTGATTCTGACACTGCTACAAATATGTCTCAATTAGCAGCCTTCCCTGGGGTGCCCTTCTAGGTATCTGGCATAAATGGGCTGTGTGGATACCCAGCCCAGACTCCGCAGCTTCGGGAGGATGCCCTGGGAGCATTTCTGTACTCCCCTCAGGAGAAAACCTCTGAATTTGGCTCCTTTTCGACAGCACACTCCTCCATTCATTCCGGTGTTTGTTGAGCACCTGCTGTGTACCAAGGGGCAGGCTAGGGAACAGGGCTACAACAAGAAATAGCAGCTTCAGACTCTGCTTTCCTGGAGCTCGGGGTCTAGGAGAATGCTGGATCCGCAAAGCAGGAGATGCCAACCTAGCCTGGGGGCCAGGACAAGCTTAGGAAGGCTGTTAACTTAAAGCAGTGATTTTCAACAGGTATGCCACTGCACGCCATTAGAGGATCTTAGGATTGCTGCGAAAATGTTCAAAGATTATTAACTAAATTATAATAATTATTATTATTATTTAGAGACAGAGTCTTACTCTGTTGCCCTTGGTAGAGTGCCATGATGACACAGCTCACAGCAACCTCCAGCTCTTGGGCCAGGCAATTTTCTTGCCTCAGCCTCCCGAGTAGCTGGGACTACAGGTGCCCACCACAATGCCCAGTTATTTTTTGTTGCAGTTTGGCTAGGGCCAGGTTCGAACCCACCGCCCTCGGTATATGGGGCCGGTGTCCTACTCACTGAGCCACAGGCATCACCCTAACTAAATTATTTTTGAACGAAGTTCAAAGCACAGTAAATATTTTCTTTTTCTTACCCTTGTTTTTTTTTTTGATCAACATAATTTAAGTGTGCCATAGATGTTTTACTGTAGGTTTGAGTGTGCCATGAGACAAAAAAAAGGTTAAAAAAAAAAAAAAAAACACTGATTTAGAGAAAGAGAAGGAGCTTGTTGAGCAGAAGGAAGGACTCGAGCGAAGGCCCAGAAGCAGCCCCTGGCTGCTGGGAAACACAGAAGTCGGCTGGGGCTGGACCACAGGGTACAGGGAAGAGATGATGTGAGGAGAGAGGGGTCAGCTGGACCCAGATTACAAAGAGCCATGTAAATCATAGGCTAAAAGTTGGAGAAGGCCCGGGGATGAAAGTGGGGACAGGTTGTGCTTTACAAAAGTTACTCTGGCAGCTGCTGTGCAGAAGGTAGGTAGCTGCACTGGGGGAAAGAGAAACAGAGACCAGTTAAGAGGTTTTGTGTCTGTTGGAGAAAAAGTATTACCAAGGTGCAGAGGGGAGGCTTTAATGATCAGGATTAATCTCCTCATACCTCTGAAGCAAGATCTAGGTGGGGCAGTGCCCCAGCAGCCTGTCCTGACCACATGGGTGGTGCTGGCCTGGGGGTGACATGCTCTGGGCCCAGGTACACAGACCTCTACCCCTCTGAGCCTGGGCTTCTCCTCTGGTTTCATCACATTGCTCGAACTGCCCAACCTGGCAGAGGTTCAAGGGGAAAGACCCCAGGTCGCTGTAAACAGTGATGTCTTAACACATAAAAGGCAGCAACAAGATTTAGTAGGATGGCTAGATGGCCAGGGAGAGAATTTGCTTCCTTTAGCCTTTTGGTTCTGTCTTGGCTGCAGACACCTTCTCTTGCTGCCCCGAGAGGCCACCTTTCAGGCTGGTTATGAGAATTCATTTTAACAAGAACCAGAGGATGGCCAGGCTGGACAACTTGGTCCAACACATGAGACCACCAGAAAGCTACGCCATTAGGGCACCTGAGCCTCTTCTTGCCTCCCGGGGGGGGGGCCTTTGGTTTCGGTGCAGCACCCTGGTCTTCATCTGTGAGCAGTGATCATCAGCTGATTCTGCAGGAACAGAACACACTTGTTAGAACCTGTCGCTTCCCCTGGCTGAGAAAGGCTTTCACAACGTTCCTGTTTCATTTTCTCTTTCACACAAATAAATGTGTTTTTCCTTCTCTCTCCTTCACTCTGCCTCCCTGTAATATAAATCAGCTTCAGAATCTCACCTTCCAGACTAGCCCATGAAAGGGAAGATGAGACTTTTCATGGGGTTGTTTAGCTGCACCTTTAAACCTGCAATGCAAAGCAGGCACACTTCCACAGAGAGAGGTTCTTTTTCTCCCCTCAAGGTGGCTTAGAAAGGGGAGGACTGAGCTGAGAAGAGATTTCATCTTAACAATCTTGACACCAACAAACCAGCACACCATTGAAAAGCTACATTGCCTTCGCACGGCCTCAAAATATGAAATGATCTTTTCAATATGCAGCCAATGTAGCTGCTTTGCCAACCCTTTGTCACTCTGGATTATCAAAAGAAACAAAATGCCTCGCTACTGCTCACAGTGAGAGGGGTATAGCCATTTAGTCTGTGGTCTGAAATGAATCTCAATTGAAATGCAGATTTATTTTCGCTTAATCTCTTAGCAACTATTCAATACTTGGGGATATATATTCATCAGGGTTGATGCTAAGCTTGAGATTATTCAAAAATTATGGAATCTGCATGTTCAATTCCCTCCAAGAATATTATCGTTAACTGTGAGTCCCTATTCATCCTGGCATCAGGTCTCAGGGCACAGATGTCAGTCCCCCCACGGCTCTGTTCCTGTTGCTCCAGGCAGCCCTCAGCTTTCCTCTGCACTCTTACCCGGCCTCCTAAGTAGCTGTTAGCTCTGAATCTCATCCCCTTTCTCCAGTCTCCAATCTATTCTCTATAATGATCTCAAAACTCAAAGCTGTTTCTGTCAGTCCCGGATTTAACACCCTTAAATAGCTTTCTTTGCTGCCCAGTGAATTGCTAATCCCTTGGGCCCTATCACAGCTCTGCATGATTTAGGAGTCCTCACCTTCCCCCCTCGCCCCGGCCTCATCTCTCACCCCATTCCACCTCCCTTTCGGGGTCTTCTACTCTAACCTCTGGGCACTTCATTCGTGCCTGATCCTTCTACCTGGAATTCTCCTGTGCCAGCTCTTGGCTTTATCTTCCAGGTCTGAGCTTAAATTGCACTTGCCCAGAAAGGCCCACCCTGGTCCTCCAGGTGAAGTTAGGGTCTCCTGGTGTATATTCACATGGCACCCTGACCTTCTGTCATCATAGAGACCAGTTATTCATACTCATTCAACAACCTTTGAACTCAGATAGGGTAAAGAGCTGCTCTATCTGGTTCACTGTTGTGTCCTGGGTGCCTAGCACAGCCTAGCACAGGGACCATGTCTAAGAAACACTGCCTGGCTTCACGGAGCTTTGAGGAAATTAAGCAGCTGTCCTTTTACCATAAGTGTGACCTCTGGTGTCTCTGGTCACTCCAGGAGCAACGGGGATCGAAGATCGGCTGCAGGAAGGAGTTCCAGACACAATCGCAGCTCTGCGGGAGGCTGGGATCCAGGTCTGGGTCTTGACTGGAGACAAGCAGGAGACAGCCGTCAATATTGCCTATTCCTGCAGACTGCTAGATCAAACGGACACCGTGTACACCATCAACACAGAGAATCAGGTGAGGCCTGGAGGGGCCAGATATCCAAGCACAGAGCAGTCTCAGCCCACAGGAGATGGGCTTACAGGTGGGACTCAGGCATGCTGGGCAAGCACCCCACCCCCAAGATAACACTGAATCGTGGAGCCTGGAGAGCCCTGGAAGCCACCCCACCCAGTGTCCTCCACTTAACCCTTACACGTGCTTGACTGGTCTCTTTCCTATTACCTCTCACGCTGCTTAGTAGAAAGCTTTACTCGCTTACATTCTACCCTTGGTCCCATTTCCCCATTTTATAGATGAGGAAACTGAAGATCCCTGGGGCTACATCACTTACCCAGATTCACCACACTGGTTCTGATGAAGGGAGCTAAGTCTGGAACTAGTGCTATTTACATCTTACCACCCCGTCGCTCATAGAGCCTCAATTGTCAGTTTCTTGCTACTTCAGATTAACTCACCCATTGAAAAAGTCCCAATAAAATTGAAATTATTCTGAGTTTACAGCTTCAGCAGCAGTGTATATGTTGAATGGGTCTGTCACATGGCAGAATCCTGAAGGGAATAGTAATACAGGAGGCCAGTGCGTTGTGATAAGATGGGAGAGAGGAAGAATGAAGAAGCCGAGCCCGGAAACTGCAACTTGCAGTCAGAATTACGTGTGGGCGGCCGGAGTGAGATTTGAGGCAAGACTGGGAAATCGGAAGACGCAAATTCAAAGCTATAATGCGATTTTCTACTTAGAAGGAAGAGTCTATTTTCACCATGAAAACCGCAGAAAGCAAAGTTCCACCTTCTTCTTGGCTAATGAAGATGGAAGGGGGCTGATGAGATGTGTGCTCCCGTCAGAAGACAGCAGGGGTGGGATGTCATGGAGCCCAACAAGAACAGCACGAGAGGCGGCGGGCAGAGGGCACTTGGAGGCCCCGGGAACCCTGGGAAAGGACAGAGAAGAAGGCAGAACACAGGGAAAAGAAAACCTCGGGAGACAGAGACCAGGAGGACACTGCAACCTCCCTCTTTCCTTTAAGTTTTGTCTGAGGCTGCTCTAGACCCAGAAACAGAAGTTTGGGGTGGAAGGTTTATATTTACTTTTTATTCCATGAAGAAACCGTAGACCATAATTAAAAACAAAAAGGCAGGATAGACTGAAAAATGCCCGAAGCCCTTTTAGACGAATTGGAAAAATCATTGACTTTCCTGTCAGGTGCACGGATGGTGCTGTGATTAGATTAAACTCCAGTGAATTTTCAAAATGAAAATAATCTCAGGAAAAAAAAAAAACTTTGGCTTTAATATTATGATGAGGAAAGGAAGCAATTTTCAGCTTGCTTGAGTGCTTGATCCCTGTGCCTGCCTGTTCTGCTTGGGATGAAAATTCGGTTTGCGCTGATTCTTTCACTCCAGGAAATTTTGGAAGGAGGATGTCTGCAAACCAGTGAGGCAGCCAGCCCGATAGGGGCGGAGTGAGCTTCCCTGGGTTCTCTTAAATATCATGCACTCCTGTAGGAAGCCGACGATGTTTGTTGGTTAAATAGCCAAATTTCCTGAGGACCAGTCGGCCACACCCTGTTGTTAATTCTGTCAGTGTTTTTCACCGTCTGGGGCTCTCCAAGATGGCGCCTGAATCCTCAGCCCTGTCTACACCTTGAGACCCACTAAACCTGTAAGATTAGTCTTTCTCATCCCTCTGCCTAAGAATCAGTTGGAGATGCATAAATGTGTTAAGCCAGAAACTGGGGAAATACATTCTAAGTCTTCAATTTATTTAAAACCCCAGTTTAATGTAATTACATATTCAGTGGCTATTTCCTCCAAGGGTTTTAATTTGCTTAATTCACTATAAATTTATTTGGGACTACTGTCACTTTGCTATGTACCTAAAAGCAATAAGCAAGTTACAAGACCTATCTAGAACCCTTCTGGGTTCCCATCCACAAGACGAGGAAATTACTAACTCATCACTGGAAATGTTGATCTATCAAGGAGGTTTTAAAAGGATGAACATATTAGATAAAAACTAATAATAATCACCAATATTGTTACCATTAATGTATATTGAAGGCTTAACATGGTCCAAATACTATGCTTCTTGCACTTCCATTCTTATCTGTAAAACAGAGATTTAAATTAATTATTTCAGCTCAATACCTGTAGCTCAGTGGTTAGGGTGCCAGCCACATACACAGGGGCTGGTGGGTTCAAATCTGGCCCAGGCCTGCTAAACAACAATGATAACTACAAGAACAAAAAAAAAAAAATAACTGGGTATTGTGGTGGGCACCTGTAGTCCCAGCTACTTGAGAAGCTGAGGTAAAAGAATCACTTAAGCCCAAGAGTTTGAGGTTGCTGTGAGCTGTGGTGCCATGGCACTCTACTTAGGGTGACATAATGAGACTCCATCTCTCTCTCTTTCTCTCTCTCTCTCTCTCTCTATATATATATATATATAATTACTTCACAAGCCATTGGAAGGATGAAATAAGATTATAGAAGAAAGTTCTTACTTAGCATAGTACCTATATTAGTAACCTATTATTGAATAACAAATTACTCAAAGCTCAGCAGCTAAAACAATAGACATAAATTATCCCATGGTTTCTGTAAGTTAGGAGTCCAAGGACATTTTAGTTGAGTGCCATAAGTTGAAGGTCACTCTTGAGGTTGCATTTAAGCTGTCAGTCAAGGCTGTGGGCTCATCTGAAAGCTCAAATGGGTGGGTGGTGTAGGGGTGGGAAGGAGCCCTGTTTCCAAGTTCATTCACATGATTGTTAGTAGGTCTCCATTCCTTGCCTGTGGGCTTCATAGGACTACAATACAGCATGGCAGGTGGTCTCCCCATGGCAAGTCATTCAAGGAAAAGTGAGAAAGAACACCAAATTATAACATAAGTTATACATAACTTAATATGGGAAGTGACATTCTATCACTTTTGCAGAATTCCCTTCATTAGAAGGGAGTCACTAGGTCTAGCCCACACTCAGTGGAAGGAGATCACATGAGATCATGAATACCAGGAAGTGCAGATCATTGGGAAGCACCTTAGAGGTTGCCTACCACAGTACCGGACATGCGCTGAGTACTCAGTGAATGGTAACTATTGTGATTATACTCTAAAAAGTTAGAAATAAGTAAATTCAGCAACTTAATTTTGAAGTTCATATCTCCAAGGACTTGCAGTCAAGAAATCTATATAATTCGTACCAATCCCAACTTCCAGCAAGGATCATGTTGATCTCTTTCCCAGATTAAGTGCCTCTGCTATGACCATTCATTCTAGGCTCTGTGCAACCTTATTGCCTGAAGCACTCAATCTAACATCTTCCAAAAGGAAGACTCAGGAATAATGAGGTGTGGCTCTATTCCTTCCAAAAGAAATTATTCTGGACATTCCCAGACAGAAGTCTCTAGATCCGTGCTCCTCAAACCTCTCCCTTCAGAACTACCTTTACCATTTCTGCTAAAATATGATCTGTACTGTTTTTTACTTGATGATTTCATTCAAATTGACTCATTTTGAACATTGTTTATTTTAGAAAAAAATTTTAGCACATCACTCAGTGAAAAGTCCATCTCCTGCTATGGATAGAAGAACGCTGTAAAATGAAGACCATGAAAAAAAACAACACTGCTAAAATCGATAATACTGTTGTGTACTGCAGCGTTACATTTTTTACAAAGCAATGTTCACAGAAATTAAAAGAGATATTAAGAATATAAGTAGAACCACATTCTGACTTTGTCTTTGATATAATAAAAAGCAATAGAGGAAATTTCCAAAAGGAAATCATTTTCTTAATATCTTTCAAGATAAAAACCAGGAAAAAATACCAGTAAAAAGCATATTTTTTAGCACCTTTCATGGAATAGACCAATGGATAAACAGGGATAATGTCTTTTCAATTAGGAAGCCACTATTCGAATAGTAACAATATTGCCTCCACTACTGAGTTGGGATGACCTTGGATGAGTTGCCAACTATCTTGTTTCCATTTTCTCATTTCTCAGTTAAGATCTGTAATAAAGACCCTACCTTTCACCCAGGAATCTCTAGAAAAACAAAGGAGAGCTTCAGTGACCTGTGAGACACAGAAAGCACCACCCAGCAGGACATGTTGTCATAATTTAACATCTTCCTAGTATTATTTATTTTCTTAGACTATCCTTGTATCAGTCCCCATCCTGCTGAGCTATTTTCTCTCCTATTCTCAAGAAGTGTCCCCAGTTATGACCATTAATTTGGTTCCAAATTATTACTGCTTTGATTCAGAGAAAAGCAAAAATTAACAGACTAACTCCTAAGTAATCTCTACAGCAGCAGAGCTTTACAACTATTTTACTAAAGAAAAATGTGAAATTGTTAACACCCATTTCCAAGCTTGCTTACTCACACCAGATGATTATAACTCTTTCCAGGAAACCTGCGACTCCATCCTCAATTGCACATTAGAAGAGGTCAAGCAGTTTCACGAACCACAGAAGCCTGACCGCAAGCTCTTTGGATTCCGCCTGCGTTCCAAGACACCATCCACCACCTCGGCAGCTGTGCTTCCAGAAGTTGGATTGGTCATCGATGGGAAGACACTGAATGCCATTTTCCTGGGAAAGCTGGAGAAGAAGTTCCTGGAGTTGACCGGGTACTGTCGGTCTGTCCTGTGCTGCCGGTGCACCCCACTCCAGAAGAGCATGATCGTCAAGCTGGTGCGGGACAAGCTGAGCGTCATGACGCTGTCCATAGGTACCCATGGTGCTGAGTCCAGGTGGGAGGTCAGGTACCACAGTCAAGGTGCACAGCCTGAGGGTCATTGTGTAGCGGGAGAGAGTGCAGAATGATTATCAGGATGTGCCAACGAGGGGGTGAAGCAGAGGCTGAGAAGAAGGGGAGAGGGCAGCAAAGTTCTTTGGACCCACAAGTCAGCTAAAGAAAAATCAGAATATAGATGGAGGTCAAAGCCAGCAGTGGCCTTGAATGCAGGACACCCAGGTAGCTCAAGGAATGTTGCCATTAACCACACATACTTGGGCCATCTCAATACTGGGATGCAGCACTTCCCCTTCAATACTTGACACACGGCCTGACCGCAGGTGTTTCCGAGGTGATGTTCTTCTGAGGGTTGATGGCTGGTGGGGATATTTTAAAGATCAAGACTGCCCCATGTTCATTTCTAAATACAAGACCCACACAAAGCATATCCTCTATAAAGGCTAGCCAGTTGGTATATAAAATCAGCACATTGTACCCTAGAAATGCAGTAAGGTACACAGTTATGATGCTACTTAAAAAAAAAAAAAAAGAATTGCTCAGAAGGGGATCAACGTCAATCAGAAGGAAGTGTAGAACTAAAAACTGCACTTACTTAACACCTTGTAGGAACAACCAACCCTGGTTTACAAGAATCCTCATGATCTGGTCTTCATTACCCTCCAGCAACATCTCTTCCCATGGCTACCTTCCTCTTCCCAGCTCTCGCATCCCACGTTCCAACCTAAGGAAACTTTACCATTCCCCCTGGACCTTGTCCTCTCTCACTTTCAGGCTTTTTACACAAGTGATTTCTTCTGTAAAACACTTCTTCTTCCAGTGCCACCTAACTTTGCTTTCCTCCACGGGCTCCCAGGGCGCCAGTTCCCACAGCTCCAAGCACTGTTATACCTTCCTCCCTTGAGCAGAGGAATGTTATCAATCTCAGTCATAGTTTGATCCCTGGTTCAACACACACCACCTACATACTAGATTTTGTATTCATTTAGGGGCATTACTACAGATATTGCAGATGGCGCCAACCTCTCTTCCTCCTACACAGGCTTAGAAAGAGACTTTCTTTCCTGACATTCAAACAAGGGATTTATTATACATGATGGTTTTTTTCTGGTCTCCAGGTACAGTTCAGAAGAATAAAAAAGTGGAGAAAGGAAGCAAAAAAATGCAGGGAGCAGAACTTTAGCCCCCTCATCTTACTTTTATATCCTGAATTGCCCTCTTCAGAAGTTCAGACACACATAAGGCAACAGCCCAGGATTGATTCCCTGAAGTCCGATATCGGCTGTATTCCCATAGCAACAGGAACAAAACCAGCAGGGAGAGAAATAACGGGGTTTCACACTTCTCCTTCTCCCAGTTAGCTAACCATGGCAGTAAAGGGCTGGTTTTGTTCTGCCATGGGGAAGGTTAAAATTATGTATGCTATTTGATTAAAAAAAAATGAGAATAAAAGGCTACCTACAATAGCAAGATTTTTAAGATCAGTAAATTTGTTACCAAATAATTATGGGGAGACAGTTATTCTCTCACCCATTACATATTCTCTACTATGAATAATAGAAATTTAATTGCAGTTTATTCTGAGAAGCTACCAGGAAAAGAGATGGGGCCAGGAAGAGGATGGAGGCTACATGGTCTCCAGCAGGGGCTAGCACACAACAGCCAGCAGGCCCAACACAGCCCACTGAGTGTTTTTGTACAGATGCTAAAAATAGTTTTTCTATTTTTAAGTGTAAAATTTGTAAAAGACTAATAGCCTTTCAGCAGTAACAATGGTTCAGTTTTGCTTCTGGCTCACAAAGTCTAAGATATTTACTCTCTGACCCTGTACAGAAAAAAATTTGCTAAACTTTTGTCTACATGATACAGTACCAGGGAGAATCTGGCCACTAAGGGAGGCCTCGCTGTATAGAGCTACAGTGGCTACTCAAATTTAATTAAAGTTAAATGGAATTTTGCCAGCCCAATTTCCATAGCCACGTGTGTCTGGTGGTTTCTGTACTGGACGTGCAGATACATTTCCATCATTATAGAAAAATCTATTTAACAATTCTGGCTTAGAGGGAGGCCATGGCTATGGATGCAAATGTGTACAATTGTGTATCTGTGTGTGCACACACAAACACATTGTGTGTGTTTTCATGGCCTTATCTCCAGCCTCCCAAAACAACTCAGTTCACTAAATGAGAATTCAATGTGACTAAATAGATCTCAATTAAAAAATTAGTCAATCTCATTTTTCCACATTCAGAAGCAAAACTGAATGTTCTCCTTCCCTTAGACACCATTAACAATCTGATGTCCAAATGTTCTAGCTGTCTTGACATGTCAGTATTTCAAGTTTGACTGCAGTAGGAAAGCATGTGGGCCCAGGAATCAGATCTGAGTTTCAATTTTCCTGAGTCCCTTCTCTAGGGGGATCACCCTTACCAAGTCTTTAAATTGCTCTGATTCTTCATTTGCTCACAGTGAAGTCCACAATACTGTTTGTAAAGGCTCTTTTTCATAAACTACACACCACTGGCCACATCTGTCTTGATCACCATTGTGTCCCCAAAACCTAACGTTGTGCCTAGAAAAAAGACACTTAGTCAGGACCGTATTTATTGAATGATCAAGAAAAAAAGTAGAGCTTCTTGTCCAAAGAAGAAAAGATAGCTCTCAGGTGAGGCACTGTAGCAATGGCTTTCTACAGGACTATTCAGAGTTATGTTAAAAGGAATGAGGACACTGTAGAGCCATCTCATTGTCACTGAGCAGTTGGACCAGGAACAAAGGCACCTCATGACCTCTCTTCTTTCAGGTGATGGAGCAAATGATGTAAGCATGATTCAAGCTGCTGATATTGGCATCGGCATATCTGGACAGGAAGGAATGCAGGTATTGGTCCCTCCTTACTTTTCTTTATCATTACAGGAGATTTCAAGAACTCCCCACAGTGTTGGGGGAACTTCTTTTCAAGAACTTCCATCTACATCCAAAGGTGCAGTGCCCTCCATCAGCAATGATGGACATAAGGAAGTTAGAAAACATTTTTCAACTACAGTTTAGTCCTGGTGGCTAGTTTAACCCATAAATTGCTAGGTACACTTTCATGGTCTGCCTAATTTAGTCAAAATTCCTCTTGGGGCAAGCATACAATCTTGACTGGTAACTTTTTCTACTGAAATGATTTGATTTTGTGCTTTTTGAACCATTAACAATAGTGTTTCCACCTTGAGTGCAGACATGTGGTATTGCCTAAATTTGTTGATGGAGATAAAAGAGCATTGAGTGAGCAGCAACAATTACTGCCCTATGAGTAGCTCCCACGTGCCGACTCTCTGTTAGACACTTCACATTTCACATCTCATCAGGTTTTAATAATCACCACAATCCTGTGTATTAGGGGTTGTTATTCCACTTTTTTTCAGTTGGAGAAACTGAGGTTCAGGGAGTTTAAATAGCCAGATAAATATTCATACAAGGATTTATAGGCATATCTAAACTCAGCATCATGTTGGGGTTTTTTTTTAATGTTTGTTCATCATGCTTTTAAAAGAGTACTATAACCTACATTTGGTTCTGAGTAATCCCAAGATCCATGTAGAGGAAGAACTATCTATCCATCAGGTCCATCTGGTAATGGAGCCAATGGCCCACTTCAGGAGGTGGTGAGGGATGTTTAGAGATTTGGGGATTACTTGAATGGAAGCCCCTACTCTCTGGTTAATATCACACCCCTAGCATGGTATCTGATATATCCATAGAAGTGCTTGTTGGGTAACTGGATGAAAGACCAGCCTCCACCACTGCTTCATCTGATCCATCCTCCTTGGATTCTAGTGAGGTTTCAGTTTCCCAGAAGAGAGAGTGGGATGTGAGGATCCAAAGAGCCACCCAAGAGTGAACACATAACGACCAAGAGCATCATTCATACCTTCCCAGCTATAGACCTAAAACACAGCACCACCTTTAAGGAAGCCTCTTTAGGGCTATGGTGGGCATGGATGGAAGCTGATGCATCTGCTCTCCCCTCTCAGGCTGTCATGTCCAGCGACTTTGCCATCTCCCGCTTTAGGCACCTCAAGAAGCTACTGCTAGTGCATGGTCACTGGTGTTACTCACGCCTGGCCAGGATGGTGGTGTACTACTTCTACAAGAACGTGGTGAGTAGCCCTGTGGAGGCTCCCACAAGGTCTTGGGGGTCCCCACTACGGGGCCAGATCTCCCCACAGCATCTCAGCAGAAGGGAATGAGTCAGGCTGGCCTGTTTCTTACTAGCTCTGCGACATTGGGCCAGACTATTCACTATTCTTCAATTTCCTCTCTGATAAAATGGAGCTAGTGCTTTCTATTTTTGTGAAGTTACCATGAGACTTGTGTGTCATGTAAAGTGCCTGGCATGTAAGGGGCAGCATGAATGGTCTTTATTTGTTTGTGTTTGTTTGTTTGTTTTTTAGACAGAGTCTCACTCGGTCACCTGGGTATCATATAGTTCACAGCAACCTCAAACTCTTGGGCTCAAGAGAGCCTCCTGACTCAGCCTCCTGAGTAGATAGGACTATAAGCACCCACCATGACACCTAGCTAGTTTTTCTATTTTTAGTAGAGACAGTGTCTTGATGTTGCTCAGGCTGGTCTTAAACTCCTGAGCTCAAGCAATCCACCCACCTCAGACTCCCAGAGCGCTAGGACTACAGGCATGAGGCACCTCGCTCAGCCAGCAGCATGAATGTTTATGAGCATGGACTCTGGAGTCCAGCACATTGGGTTCAAATCCAGACTCCCATATGTGGTGATATCCCTAAACCTCAGTGTCATCATCTGTAAAACGGGGATGTTACTACATGAGAATATTACCTTTCTCATATGTTTGCTATGAAGATTAAATGACAGCTGCCTACAAAGTAATTCACACATAGTGATCACGCTCTAAGCTTATCCATTAGGTTTTATTATCATTGGTGTTGCTGTCATTGCTCTTAGAGTTACATTTCACAGCTGAGATTTATTTTCTGGTTGCAAAGAAGAATGATTTGAAGAACAACTAGCTTCGCTTGGTCTTAGATAGGGTCCCGCAATGTAAGAGCTATACCCCAGACCTTGGAAGAGTAAAGGTGACTATTCCTTACCAAATAGAAGACTGGAGCCCGTGACTTCAACCTGAGACTTGCATATCAACCAGGGTTCTTTATAAGTGAGTTCCTGGAAAGCAGGACGCTAAATAAAATACTTTACTGGCAAAGATGTTTGGAGTGGGGAGATCATCCAGGTTGTAATCTTACATGACCCTGGCATGCTGTGTGACCTTGGGAAGGCCACTTAGTCTCTCTGAGCCTCAATTTCCTCATCAATAATATGAGCAGACTATGGTTCTCTATTTCCCTAGAAGTGTTATTGAGAAGCCTTAGTGTCAGAGCTCTGGAAAGCACATAGCTCTATACAAATGACGTTATGGGTCTCCTTAAAAATGTGTTGGTTTCTGTCTTGTTGATTAAGGACCCAAAGCAGAATTGCACCACCTGAAGTAGGTATTGAAACTGTCAGAGGATCCTTTTGAAAAGCCCCTGATTAATGATGGATATAAGAAGTCAATTCTGTACTAAGGGAAAAAACAAAGGCCTGAGTTTTTCATTATCTAGTTCAAGGACCTTTCAGTAGTCCCCATAGGTCTCCAAATAGACTCGGATTCCTCTTTGCATGAGGAAAGGGAAGAATTAATAATAAGGTAATTAAAAAGAAACATATTTAGCCAAGCAATGGCTGCAAAATTGCACTTTTTTCCCTTTTTCTTTATCTTCCCAATCTTCCTTTTAGATTCCTACATAGTCACTCTCACTCAGGAATGGGACTTTCTGTGCAAAGATCACAGTCTATGTAAATAAACAGCATGACAAAAAATAATGTAAATTCGGTCAACTGGATGGTAATATTATCTCAGCAAGTCTATGCAAACAAGTCAGTCCATTTGACTTGAAACTCACTCCAAGCATGAAACCTGTTTACTTAGAATTCCAAATGCTTGTTTAATTTTTTTTTTTTGTGGTATCCAGAAGAATTATTCTTTTGAATAAGCACAGCCTCTTCTCTGCATTAAATTTGTGAAGTAGAAAAGAAAATGTTTCCAGCCAGCCACATTCTCAAAGCTTAAATGATATTTATTTCCAGCCCAATGCCATGCTTGAAATTGTGATACTGATGTCGCATTATCTCTCCGTTGCAATTAGAGGGTGGAGAACTATGACTTTCACATCTGAAACCAATTTCAGAGGGGATTAAAACCTTGCCTGCGCTGAAATTTGAACAATGAATTAATTACTGCACTGTAGCTTCTTGAGAGGAAGAACAGGCATCCAATCTCAGCCATGCTGTCACGGGTTCAGCGCACTCCTGCAGATGCAAAGATTCCAGCAAGGCAGAGGAAGTAGAAAACAAGCAGGAGCCTACCGGGAGAAAAGCAGCATTCTGCCATGTTAAAACTCCAGGATGAGTGTTAGAACAATAGCACTAAGATTAACTTCATTTACTCAAGTAACTCCGGAATGTCTGCTATGTGTCAGGAACAACGTTGGGCAATGGCTATAGAGCGAGAATCAAGCCAGCCACGGCCCCTGCCCCCATAAGGCTAACCATTGACATCAGGGCTCAACATGCTTTTCTGCAAAGGGCCAGAGAATGGCTATTTTCAGCTCATGCAGAAGCCAGATAGGACTGAGAAAGGTTAGGAGCAATCAAAGGGAAAGAACTGTAAAAATTCATATGCTGCTTGCACTGCTTTCTAGCTCTGAACTTGGAAAAGAGGCAACTGAGTACCTCGGAGCCTCAGCTTCCTCATCCATAGAGTGGAGCTAATAATGTTAATATCATTTTTAATGTTATATCAATATGTGACATATATTAACAAAGTAACATAAATATATTACTATTTTTTTTTTTTTTGGCCAGGGCCAGGTTTGAACCCACCACCTCTGGTATATGAGGCCGGAACCCTACTCCTTTGAGCTACAGGCACCGTCCTACTATTATTATTAACAACAATATCAATCTTGCAAAGTTGTTAGGACAAACTATAGTGTGTATTGTACAGCTAATAATGTGCTATAAACTAATATACTGATGACACTATAATGCACCCCACACACCTAGTTCATACAAAATCCCAAACAAATATAATTGGTGTTACTAGTGACAATATTAAGGTGTTAATATTATTACTATTAATAATAATAATGAGTGGAGGGCCTGGCACAGTGACTCGAGCCTGTAATCCCAGCACTCTTGGAGGCTGAGGTGGGTGGATCACTTGATCTCACAAGTTTGAGACCAGCCTGAGCAAAAGCGAGACTGTATCTCTAAAAAAAATAGCTAGACATTGTGGTGGGCACCTGTAGTCCCAGCTACTTGTGAGGCTGAGGCAAGAGAATCACTTGAGCCCAGGAGTTTGAAGTTGCTGTGAGCTATGACACCACCGCAATCTACCAGGTGCAAGAAAGTGAGACTCTGGCTCAAAAAATAATAATAAGTAGAGGGCTTCTCCACAATAACAGTGGTTCAGCAATTAGGAAATGAGAATTCTAGTTTGAACACAAACCTGTTTAATGGTTTCTTCCAAAACCTTTCATGTCCCTGTGCCTCGGTCCCATAGAACTAATAAGTTTTAGTCTTAACCTCAGTACCAGCTGCTTGTGCAATCTTAGATAACTAAATCACATCACAGGATGGTAGGCAGTTGCAGTGACCCAGCCCATTCAAAAGTGGGGAGATCTTGAGCTGGAAAGAGCTTTAGAAAAAATAAGCAGTATTTAGGCAGAAGATTTTCTTGTTCAGACCCTGAGCTGCATGACCCTGGAAGGTGTTGTGAGGACATCCTTCTCGGGAGGTCATCTTCCCGCCAGGCTTCCCACCCGGGGTCTTACCATCGTCCCTTCCTCAGCAACACCCCTTTTTATTACCACACTGCTGCCATTCGTGTTTCATATGCTGTGGTCTAAGCACTACTATTCCCTGCTGACGGATGACAAAATTATGTCCAGAAAAACTAAGCCATTTTCTCAAGGTAACAGTAAGTGACAGAACTCAGAGGACAAATCCAGGCCTCTCTGCCTCCAAAATCTGTGCTCTTAACCACTGGAGTACAGTAAGTCCTCACTTAATGTCATCAACAGGTTCTTAAAAACTGCAACTTTAAGCAAACTGATATATAGAAGGTCCTCAAAAACTATCATTTCATCCAACGTTATTTTATTATAACATTGATGAGGGGGAAATGGTTTTGTTACACATCGTTTGGCTTAAAGTTGTAGTTTCTAAGAACCTATTGGCAGGGTAGTGAGGACTTAACTGCATACTCACCTTGACACATGGCTGGAGCTCCGCCAGGTCCCAAAGAGCATGAACAGTAAGGCAGTATTTTATCATTTGTATGAATATGTAAGTGTTCTATATTGGTTTCGTAATAGTATTGAGTACATTGAATACTTTCTTTCACCATTCTTGAGATACTTTACTAAGAAGAATATATTCTAGCTCCACCAACACAAAGATAGTCCAAAAAGAAAGAGGGGCGAGGAGGGCGAGGGACTCCTCACAAGGCTGCATTCTCTGCCCGCAGTGCTACGTCAACCTGCTCTTCTGGTATCAGTTCTTCTGCGGCTTCTCTGCCTCCACCATGATCGACTACTGGCAGATGATCTTCTTCAATCTCTTCTTCACCTCCTTGCCTCCTCTCATCTTTGGAATCCTCGATAAAGACATCTCTGCAGAAACCCTCCTGGCATTGCCTGAGCTGTACAAGAGCGGCCAGAACTCTGAGGTAAGGAGCCTGGATAGCTGGCGGGAGGCGGCCTCAGGTGGCCTCCCTGACCTCTGCTGAGTCTTCGGGCATCAGAGAAAGAGCCCTGGCCACTGTGCCGCACTTACCTCCCATGTGACTTTGCACAACTCCCGCTCCCCATCCCTGGCCCGTTTCTCATTTGCTATTGAAGTGGATTGGAAGAGACACCAGTGGGTATTTGCCTTTTGAATCATTTCTTAATTATATCACACATTAATACAGGAGTTGAAGGGGAAGTGGGCAGGCAGGAAAATCCCATCCCTCTTAACAGGCCCCTCCGGGCCTGAGGAGTAACAACCGCACCCCAAGGCCTGGTTAGGGGACCCCTGAGACTAGCAGTTAGTTCTCTCATCCCTAAACACATAAACAAATGCTTCTGTTCACATCGGGAAAGGCAAAGCTTAGAGCTCGATTACGTAGGCTTTAGAACTTCCCACTACTGAGTAGACAAAAGAAAGCCTGAGAAACCATCGGGCAGGGTGGGAGGGCTTTCAAGAAGGCCCAGAGAGGACACGCTGCAGCCCTGACTCATTTGGAGATGTCACATAAGAGGCTGCAGCAAGGAGGGAGGATGAAGGGACATGGCAGAGCCCTGGGAACGGGACTTTGAAACACCAGAGAGCACCTTTGCATCTGGGGGAAAGGAGGGCAGTGCCAGATGTGGCGTTTGAGAACTGTTGATTTGTTGTGGACAGCCAGGAAAGCAAGCCACCTGTGGTGACCCACAGACTGGGGGAGAGCATCACAGCAGCCCAGCAGCACACACACAGGAGGCGTGGGAAGGACAGACATCCTGGGCTCTACCTATCAGCATGCTGGATGCACAGCCAGTTCCTTCAGTATCTACCATGAAAGGAGGTTAACATACCTAAACCAGAAACTGCAAAGGTTTCACTCCTCTTAGGGAAGGCACAACAAGTAAGACACAAGATGAGAAGGCTTGTCTCTGAGGCCCTTGAGCTCTGTCTCTTGGGAACCTGTGTTCCTGGGCTGCGATTGAAACCTCTCTTTCAGATGTTACTAAGAAACCTCTCCAAGTTTGTCGTAGCTATGGAGTTAATGAATAACTGAATACTTACTGAGGCATGATTGCATTTAGTCCTCTGGAACCCTAAGGAAACAGATGATGTTATTTCTGTGCACATTTCATGGAAGAAGAAATCAATTCTCAGAGTTTAGTAATGTTCACAAGGTCACACAATTAGTGTCAGAGCCAAGACTCAAACTGGGGTCTGTCACCCTGAAGTCTGTGCTGGTAATCAATCCATTCTATTGCCACACAGGTAAGAGGCATCATAACTGCCGTATCATCTGCTCTGGGTCACACACAAGAAAGTTGCTTGCAAAGAACAGGATCTTGCTTGGGTGGGGGTAACTGCTGGTGTGCTCTTTCTTGGCAGTGCTACAACCTGTCGACTTTCTGGATTTCCATGCTGGATGCATTCTACCAGAGCCTCATCTGTTTCTTTATCCCTTACCTGGTAAGTAATATAGTCACATTCAAACCATACAAATCACAGGATACTGATCCTCTTTATATGAAATTTCAGGCCAGTAATGTCTTTCCGGACACCTCAGAACAGAGGTTCCAACAAATAGCCTCCACATCTAACCCAATAAGTTTGAAAAGTCAGAAAAGTATACTCAAATATTTTAACTTCTGGTGGCTCTTGAAAAACCAAAAGTTATCTTCCACTGAGTCACTTTTCCCTCATGGCAAAAATCTGGAATTGGCTTGTAGCCTTGTTTTATATGAGGAGCGTGTTCTCTAATTTGCCATAGTCCCCACTCCTCCCCTTTGTCTTACACTTGGCTATCTTCATTCATTAACTGTTTCCTACTTGACTACTGACGGTGTCTGAATTTACTCGTTGATGTGTGCTACCAAGGTCAAGGTAACAAGTGTTCAAGCAGCAGGTTCTGATTATAAGAGTTAATATATTACCTTAAATAAATAACAAGAATGCAGATAGCCCAATCTCAATTTGATTTCCCAGTTTAAATAGAATTAAGATAGCAAAGGATGCCTGTATTCTTTCTGGACAGGGCATCAGGATATAGGACAGTTGCCACCAGGTAAACAGTGGTGCTTATCCAGCCTTTGGGCTGATTTTCTTTGTAATCATCAATACCATAGGGTAAGAGAGGCAAGCATTTGTGCTTTGTTCAGATTTCCTGGCTTACTATATACCCTCCCTGGCCAGGCCTCACTTACCTTTCCTGCTATACCCTTCACCCTTCCATATTCTCTACCGACCTATCACAGAGACTCGTTGGAGTTCTACAAATCCACCATGTTCACACTCAGTTCTGACCTTGGCTGGAACTGCATTTTTCCCCCTCTTTCAAATAATGAAATCCCTCCCCCCCTTATTCTGGTCTCTTTTGCTATGTCCCCTCTTCTGTGTTCCCTGGGTACCTTGTACTTACTTCTACTCTAACACTTGGCCTCTTAAATTGTACCTCACCTGTCCTGCCTAATAGACTCCCTTGAAGGTAGATACAGAAATATCCTCAGCAGTTAGCCCAGTACCTGGTGAACGCTCGATTAATTCTTTCTCCATTCATTTCACAATGATTTTACAATCCCCATGGAGGCTTCCCCTGACAAACATTTTCTAAATACTTTAGTACTGTCAACTCACTCCTCATCTTTGTTTGTTCCTTGGGTCAGTTTCACAGAATGGACAGCTGGATACTTTCTTCCCTCCCTCTTCCTCCCCTTCCCTTGACACCTGCCTTCACTGATGCTTTATAATCATGTGTCAAAGCCAAAGTCCTAAATCCATGGTGATACCAGACAATGTCTGTTTGTCTCTTCTCTGCAGACCTACAAGGACTCTGATATCGACGTCTTTACCTTTGGGACCCCGATTAACACCATCTCCCTCACCACAATCCTCTTGCACCAGGCAATGGAAATGAAGACATGGGTAAGAGTCCCAGGATCTGTTGGGCTTAAAAATTGTGTTCCCATTCCTTGGCTACGTTTATATTTTTAAGTTGCTTTACTCCCTATCATTGATACACTCAGCAAATATACAGAGTTCCCACCTATGTCCCACTTTTATAGGGATGAAAGAAGTGAAAAAGATGAAACACCTGACCTCAACCTGCTTGTCTCCTAGTCAGGGTGATAAAACTAACACTTATAAAACAAGGAGACAATTATTTGCAGAAATAGATAATACTGATACAAAGTCAGGGGTGTTTCAGAGACAAGGTAACTATTAGAGTGACCATACTTGAGACTGTGTTAGGGAGGAATGTTCCTCATTTAGTTTCAAATGATTAGAAAACTACCTCCAGGTAACATCTCAATCATGTCCAAATATAACATTTTGAAATCTAAAAATGCTGTCACCTTTTTCATTGTATGATTCCAGTCAATGATAACTATAAAAATAAATAGCTTAAAATTATATGCCAGGTACCTAGTTAAACAATTTGTATGTAACCACTCAGAGCCCTTGGTGGTAGGTGTTTTTGTATTCCCATTTCACAGATTTAGAAATACTGTAGGTACAATAAACTTGCCCCACAGCGGTCCAAAATAGAAGCAAGTTTTGAACCCTGGCAATCTGACTCTTGAGCTCTCAACCACTATGCTAATCGTGTGAACAGAAAATATTGAATAGCACAGGGAAACCACTTTACAGAAAGATTTATTCTTCGCTAAACTGAAATGGCTCTTTCTGAAAGCACATGCATCACAAATTTGGAAAATTGCCCCAAGGAAGCTCAGCATGTTCCTACATTCTGCAATGGAACTCACCCGGCCCTCACTTCCCACATCATCTGAAGCTGAACCAGGCCTAACCAACTGGGCAGTGGCTGATAAGAACCACTGTGATCTTCTAGATCACAGAGTTCCCATTTTTAAAAGCCCCTCTGTTTTTAATGCCCCAAGGAAGCTCAGCATGTTCCTACATTCTGCAATGGAACTCACCCTGCCCTCACTTCCCACACCATCCCAAGCTGAACCAGGCCTAACCAACCGGGCAGTGGCTGATAAGAGCCACACAGATGAACTTCTAGATCACAGAGTTCCCATTTTTAAAAGCCCCTCTGTTTTTAATGCATGCCAATAACAGATAGAACAAGGTGATAAAACCAAAAAGGCATAACCAAGCTTAAGTACAGGATAAATTTCTTCATAGGCCACCAACACTAGAAGAGGCTATAATGTGACAAGGAGAGGGAAGGGGTACTGAGCAGGCTCCAATTACAAGCTTTCTGCGACCCAAGACAGAACACAAACCACAGCAGTGGGGAGTCTAGCTCCTGAAAGGTGGGGGACACTGAAGCCCTGTTTATTACCAGGTCCAAGTTCCCTACTCAAGAAAGAAAGTTAAAGAACATATGATAATGACAAACTGTTTGGAGTTATAGTTTTATCAGAAGCTATGAACAAGGGAAGCAAGAATCAGAGACATAACTTTGATACTAGAAACTGCACCAAGCCGAGGGAACATTTAGATTCAGTAAAATGAATTAAAATGCAATCTGTGAGATCCACTGTAGATCAGACATTGGCAAAAAGTAAACTGCCAAATTGGAAGATAGCATTGGGAACTCATCCAGAATGACAAACAAATATGAAAAAGTAAGAGGAATGCTGGCTAGCATCAATGGCTTCAGCATCTACCTAATAGGAATCACAGAAGAAAAAAGAAAAGAATGTTAGAGAAGCAATATTTGATGAAATAGTTACTGACAATGAGAACTTAACAAAATAAAATCTGGAAGTATTATGTTGATATAATGAAACTGTAAAAAGTGAAATCACCAAAACAATCCTTAAGTCTACCAGAAACTACATATAAATTACTTGAAAAGAAAAAGCAATTGCACTAGACAGTGGAGTAATTATCATCAAAGATGTGAATAAAAAACTGGAACAACCACACTATCACTTAAGAGTAGGGCAAAATAAATTATATTTTCAGATAGACAAACACTTTGAGGTTTATTATTCATAGGCCCTACTAAAATAATGTACGTCTGTAAGAACACAAAAGCTAAAACTATGAGAAAGAACATGATGAGGACAAAAGCTATTCAGTAGGTAATTTATGCTAAAATCTTCACTAGGGATAGGAAGAGAATAAAAATAAATACACATTTAACTATACATTTTTCCATAAAAGTTCACATTTATTTAATATCTTAAAAGGTTAAGGGTAACTACTACAGAAGTGGAAAGAAAAAAAGAAATATAGAAAACCATCAATTGTGCTGGGTGTGATAGCTGATGCCTATAATCCTAGCACTTGGGAGACCAAGGTATGAGGATGGCTGAACCTCTAGAGTCTGAGATCATACTGAGCAAGAGCAAAACCCCACCTCTACTAAAAATAGAAAACTTAGCCTGGCATTGTGACAGATGCCTGTAGTCCCAGCTACTTGGGAGACCAACTTGAACACAACAGTTGGCAGTTGCTGTGAACTAGGCTGATGCCAGGGCACTCTAGCCTGAGCAACAGAGTGAGACTTGTTTTTATAAAAGAAGAAAAGAAAAGAATAAAGAAAACCATCAATTCTGCAGAATGTAGGAAAGATAATAAGAACAAAGAAAATGGTGACAAACAAAAAATACAAAATGAGATGTTCAAATAAATACAAACATATCAGTACACATAATAAATATAAATGGATTAAATTCTCCCTTTGGAAAAAAAATTATCAGATTGAACTTTTTTCATCCAGCAAATGTAAGAAGAAATAAGCAAATTCATAATCTTAGTGTGAGCTTTTTATACAATTCTGTAAGAAACTGGCATAGATCAAATAGACAAAAATAGAAAGGCCATAGAAACTTTGAATAAAGTATCACACTTGATCTCATAGAGAAAATCCTGCTCCAAATAACAAGCATACTTTTTTAAAACACACTCAGATTATTTACCAAAGAGAAAACATCAAATTCTGAATCATAAAGGAATTTGAAAAGATACTGATAAAAATCACAAATACCATGTTCTCTGACAAGGCATTTAAATTAAAAACAAGTGATAAAAAGTAACCAAACAAAACCTAACATGCTTGAAAATTTCAAAATGTATGTCCAAATAACTCATGAGCTAGAATAAATCATGAAGAAAATTTTAAATGCCTCTTGCTGAATGACTACAAAAATACTACATATGCAAACTTGAGACATCCAGGTAAAGCTTTTACTATTTAAAAGAAGATGAAAACTACACAACTTAAGTACTCAACTGAAGAAAGTTAAATAATTACCACACAAACATAAAGACAATCAAAGTAAAAAGGGTGAAAAAAAAATCAAGGAAACAGTAGAAAAAATCAGTAAGATCAAAAGTAGGCTCCTCAAAATTCCAGTGAAAATTAATTACTGATAGAGAAGACACAAAAATCATATTAGGAATGGACAAAATTATAATTATAGATATAACAAATTCTTATTAAAAATATTCTTAGAAAATTTAAGCCAAATTTATCATTTCTTTAAATGTAAAATTTATCAAAACACCATCAACATCATTCAGCAAACCTGAATAAACCAAATCCCGTTCCTAAAATCTGAGACCCAAAGGATTATAGAGGTCTGACCAAAATTACACAGGACAATATCTTATACCAATTTGTTCATAAAGTAGAAAAATAAAAAAGGATGGTATCTTAGTCCATTTATACTGCTATAACAAAATATCTGAGACTGGGTAACTCATAAAGAATAGAAATTTATTTCTCTGAGCAGAGTATGAAAGACAATAAACCATAGACTGAAGAACAATTTGAAAATAGCTAGAGGAGTTTAAAGTACTCACATGTTATAAGTCAATTCTACTTCTAAGTACACGACCTGGAAACCCCCCCCCTGCATTTATATATAAGGAAACACGTATAAGAATGTTTGTTACAGCACTGTTCTTGCCAGAAAAAAAAAAATTAGAAAGAGCCCAAATGTTCGCTAACAAAAAAATAAACTGTGGCATGTTTATACAATAGCATAGTTAAAATGAACCATCTAGAGCTGTATCTTTCAACTTAAATAAAACTTTATAACATCAAATGATAAAGGCTGCAGCAATAGCTTAGTCTGCTTGGTCTGTCATTACAGATACCACAGACTGGGTGGCTTAAACAACAGAATTTTTTTCTTATGACTCTAAAGTTTAGAAATCCAAGATCAGTGCATAGCCCATTCAGTGTCTGCTGAGAGTCCTCTTCTTTCCTAGACAGCTGCATGCTATCTGTATCCTCACACAGCTGAGAGAGAAAGATCATCTCATGTCTCTTCTTACAAAGGCACTAATCCCACTCGTGAGGGCTCCACCTCCATGATATAATCACTCCAAAAGGCCTCACATCCGAATACTATCACAATGGAGATCAGAATGGAGATCAGGGCTTCCACATATGAATTTGGGGGTGAGGGAGACACATTCAGTTCATAATAAGAATACATATATAAAATAAAGTTAAAAAGTGCCTATAAACATAGGCATAAACATACGTATAAAACATACACAAGGATACACACTGAATTTATGTTCAAAATTAAAGAGAGGTCATTTGCAAGAGATATATGAGTACTTTAATTGTGAAATGTAATCTTTTTCTTTTTTTTTTTGCAGTTTTTTTGGCCGGGGCTGGGTTTGAACCTACCACCTCCGGCATATGGGGCTGGTGCCCTACTCCTTTGAGCCACATTTACATTACATTTATGAAATGTAATCTTTTCATAAAATCTGAGGCAAATATTGTATAAGGATAAACCTGATGAAGGCAGATGCTGGATGTATGAGGTTTATTGTTCACATGCTATTTTTAGTGACATTTCTAAATTAACCCAAGATATGTCCCAAAAGGATCTCTGGTCTCTATTATCCTCTTTGTCATTAGATTTTTTTCATGCTTGTGCTATAAGAGATTTTTTTTCCTTAACTTTCAAAATATCTTACAAAGTTTAATCAGGCCTCAGCTGTATATTAAATAGGTGGTGAAGGCTGGGTGTGGTGGCTCATATCTGTAATCCTAGCATTGTGGGAGGCCAAGGTGGGTGGATAGCTTGACTCGGGAGTTTGAGACCAGCCTGAGCAACAGCAAGATTCCGTCTCTACTAAAACAAAAAAAAAAAAAAAAGAAACATTAGCTGGGCATTGTAGTGGGCACCTGTAGTCTCAGCTACTTGGGAGGGTGAGGCAGGAGGATCACTAGAGTCCAAGACTTTGACGTTGATGT